CAGGTGTGCTGACACACACCTGTAGCCTCAAACCAGGAGATAGAAGCAAGGGCTATACAGAACCCATCTCAAAATAAAACAGATACACAACAAAAAAACTACCTTCTCAAACCTGGGTCAGTATTCTAAGTAAAAACACCTTCCTTCCTTTCTTTCTTTGGAATTTCTTAAGCTCATAACTTTAGTTAGGATGGGAGAAATGAAAGACAATGTAAGTAGTTGGAAAGAAAATTTTCAAATCATAGGGTTTAAGCTTGCTTTAATTTTATTGAGAAGTAGTCTTTATGAAAAATGAATCACTAGAAAATTAAGGTAAGATGGCAAGTTTGAGAAAAATTTATAATGTATGGTAGAATTGTTACACTATATAGCTAAGTAGATTTTTGCTGGTTTATGTTGTTTGTTTTGTTTTTAACCATACTGCTTAAGAAATCTGAAGAATACTTTTAAAGATGATGTGGCTTGGGGGCCACATGATTGTGTTTGCAGATCTTGCATTACGATGTTTGGTTGAAACCTATGCTGCCAGTTTTGAAGAAAGGAATGAAGAACCTTTAGCCAAACGCATAAAGAATGATAAAACAGAAAAAGAAAGTAACATTTTGTTCAAGGAAGGAAATGAAAAAAATATCCCAGAGATGTGGACCCCTGTGGCCGGTATTGTCATTGCACTCTGTTGTCATCACAGGTGTGATTGGAGACATTATGTGGGCAAAGAGTATTTCAAGGCTCTAGGCCTTGGGGCAGTGGACTTCTACTATTTCCAGAGAATGAGTAGTTGGGCAACATGTGGAATGAGAAGGACATCTTTGGAAGCCTCAGATATTACTACAAAGAGAAAAGATGATCAGAATTCCGACAATGACGAGCATGATGATGGGGGAGATAGACTCACAGATGGCAGCACTGATGGTGTGCCTGGGTAAGTGATGGCTTTTGTAATGCCCCACACTGAAGGGGGAAATACTGTATTAATATAAAGTAGTCCCCCTGTTGTTCCCTGTGGGTAACAGTTCAGGATCTCCCGAAGTTGCCTAGAGCCTTAGATAAAACAGAACTGTGCATGTTAGCATTATAGTTGCCCCATCGGTCAATTTAATAACCAGGATGGCTGTGCATGACTAGTGACTGAGTAACACACAGTGTGGATATTCTTGAGATGAGCATATGCTAGGCAAAGGTTCATTCCCAGGTAGGAGTCGGGTCAAAATGGCATTACCAAAGGTTCATTTTGGGAATTTTACTTTTAATATTTTCAGACTGTGATGGACCTTAAGCAAGAGATACAGAGAAAATGGAATTGAATAGTTGCTTCTTGGTCTTTGGCTAAGATCAAGCATAGAAAGTGAAACTGAGTAAGGTTCTTTTTTTCAGATTACTGCTGTCAACAGCTTAGTCAAGAAAATAGATCTTATGGTCTAGTTTTGGAGTAGGCTAAAACACATTTTAGTTGTGATCATAACGACAAGTCTGAGAAAAAAAAAAAAAAGACAAGTCTGGGAAGCAAGAGACAGCACCTTGTGTACAGCTGGCTAGTTAGTAGCTTTGTTATTGAACAGCAGTGACCAAGTTTTTTAGGAACTTTTACAAAGCTTTAATTCCCTGTGTGTTTATTCACTAGGATTCTTACTGCTGAAGAGAAAAAGAATATAGGACATCTTTGCAAATTGCTGATTGACCAAGGCCGACTCCAGTATTTACAACAGAAAGGCTTCAGTCCTGCTTTACAATACTATACAGACCCATCGGTATCTCTGGAAAACGTGTTACTAACTGCTGTACCAGCTCATCTGTCATCGCAGGAAGCAACTCATTAATGGAAAAGAAACTGAACATCAGTTACCTTCTGCAAACAAAAATATTTCATTCTTTTTAAGTTATGCTTTTATATTCACAAAAATATAGATAGCGAGTTTTTTGTTTTGTTTGTTTTTACTTCCAAAGTCCAAACAGAGAATTCACCATGTCCTCCAAGTATTCCTTTCAGCAGGGCTCTTAGAATTACTTTATCCATCAGAATGTATAGAGATTGGCAGAGTCAGACCGTTGACTTGGTCATCTGAAACACATATAATACATCAACATATAGTTACAGTCTAAACTCTTGTGTATTAATCTGCAAATTTTATCTTTGGTTTATTTGATATATTTTAATTTTTGAGCTCTAGTTGTAATAACCAATGCCAATTTGTAACAAGGATCAATCTAAGTGGGGGATTTTTTCAAATTGGGTCTATAAAGAATAATTGCAATTTTCACAAATGCAAATTTAGAAATGGAGGAATTGGCAAAAGACATCACCATCAAAGTTCCAGAGCCATACCTGTGTTTGTACTCTCAGAGTCTATCCCTGACTCCAAAAATGAAGAAATGGTTTCCAGGTGTGCTGACACACACCTGTAGCCTCAAACCAGGAGATAGAAGCAAGGGCTATACAGAACCCATCTCAAAATAAAACAGATACACAACAAAAAAACTACCTTCTCAAACCTGGGTCAGTATTCTAAGTAAAAACACCTTCCTTCCTTTCTTTCTTTGGAATTTCTTAAGCTCATAACTTTAGTTAGGATGGGAGAAATGAAAGACAATGTAAGTAGTTGGAAAGAAAATTTTCAAATCATAGGGTTTAAGCTTGCTTTAATTTTATTGAGAAGTAGTCTTTATGAAAAATGAATCACTAGAAAATTAAGGTAAGATGGCAAGTTTGAGAAAAATTTATAATGTATGGTAGAATTGTTACACTATATAGCTAAGTAGATTTTTGCTGGTTTATGTTGTTTGTTTTGTTTTTAACCATACTGCTTAAGAAATCTGAAGAATACTTTTAAAGATGATGTGGCTTGGGGGCCACATGATTGTGTTTGCAGATCTTGCATTACGATGTTTGGTTGAAACCTATGCTGCCAGTTTTGAAGAAAGGAATGAAGAACCTTTAGCCAAACGCATAAAGAATGATAAAACAGAAAAAGAAAGTAACATTTTGTTCAAGGAAGGAAATGAAAAAAATATCCCAGAGATGTGGACCCCTGTGGCCGGTATTGTCATTGCACTCTGTTGTCATCACAGGTGTGATTGGAGACATTATGTGGGCAAAGAGTATTTCAAGGCTCTAGGCCTTGGGGCAGTGGACTTCTACTATTTCCAGAGAATGAGTAGTTGGGCAACATGTGGAATGAGAAGGACATCTTTGGAAGCCTCAGATATTACTACAAAGAGAAAAGATGATCAGAATTCTGACAATGACGAGCATGATGATGGGGGAGATAGACTCACAGATGGCAGCACTGATGGTGTGCCTGGGTAAGTGATGGCTTTTGTAATGCCCCACACTGAAGGGGGAAATACTGTATTAATATAAAGTAGTCCCCCTGTTGTTCCCTGTGGGTAACAGTTCAGGATCTCCCGAAGTTGCCTAGAGCCTTAGATAAAACAGAACTGTGCATGTTAGCATTATAGTTGCCCCATCGGTCAATTTAATAACCAGGATGGCTGTGCATGACTAGTGACTGAGTAACACACAGTGTGGATATTCTTGAGATGAGCATGTGCTAGGCAAAGGTTCATTCCCCAGGTAGGAGTCGAGTCAAAATGGCATTACCAAAGGTTCATTTTGGGAATTTTCCTTTTAATATTTTCAGACTGTGATGGACCTTAAGCAAGAGATACAGAGAAAATGGAATTGAATAGTTGCTTCTTGGTCTTTGGCTAAGATCAAGCATAGAAAGTGAAACTGAGTAAGGTTCTTTTTTTCAGATTACTGCTGTCAACAGCTTAGTCAAGAAAATAGATCTTATGGTCTAGTTTTGGAGTAGGCTAAAACACATTTTAGTTGTGATCATAACGACAAGTCTGAGAAAAAAAAATAAAGACAAGTCTGGGAAGCAAGAGACAGCACCTTGTGTACAGCTGGCTAGTTAGTAGCTTTGTTATTGAACAGCAGTGACCAAGTTTTTTAGGAACTTTTACAAAGCTTTAATTCCCTGTGTGTTTATTCACTAGGATTCTTACTGCTGAAGAGAAAAAGAATATAGGACATCTTTGCAAATTGCTGATTGACCAAGGCCGACTCCAGTATTTACAACAGAAAGGCTTCAGTCCTGCTTTACAGTACTATACAGACCCATCGGTATCTCTGGAAAACGTGTTACTAACTGCTGTACCAGCTCATCTGTCATCGCAGGAAGCAACTCATTAATGGAAAAGAAACTGAACATCAGTTACCTTCTGCAAACAAAAATATTTCATTCTTTTTAAGTTATGCTTTTATATTCACAAAAATATAGATAGCGAGTTTTTTGTTTTGTTTGTTTTTACTTCCAAAGTCCAAACAGAGAATTCACCATGTCCTCCAAGTATTCCTTTCAGCAGGGCTCTTAGAATTACTTTATCCATCAGAATGTATAGAGATTGGCAGAGTCAGACCGTTGACTTGGTCATCTGAAACACATATAATACATCAACATATAGTTACAGTCTAAACTCTTGTGTATTAATCTGCAAATTTTATCTTTGGTTTATTTGATATATTTTAATTTTTGAGCTCTAGTTGTAATAACCAATGCCAGTTTGTAATAAGGATCAATCTAAGTGGGGGATTTTTTCAAATTGGGTCTATAAAGAATAATTGCAATTTTCACAAATGCAAATTTAGAAATGGAGGAATTGGCAAAAGACATCACCATCAAAGTTCCAGAGCCATACCTGTGTTTGTACTCTCAGAGTCTATCCCTGACTCCAAAAATGAAGAAATGGTTTCAAGGGGAAAATGATCTTACTTTAGGTCTTCTGATTATCTAGTTCAAACTTCTAAAGAATATTATTTGTAAACATAAATTACAAATCAAATTTGAAAGTTACATGTAACTTCTAAAGTTAATTCAGTATCATGTATTTTTTACCAGTCTCATATATATAAACATAACTATAAAGAAAAAAAAGGAAGGTTCTCTCCTGTTTGGGAAAATAATTTGTTTTTGTTTGTGTGTTCTGAGACAGGGTCTCATTTGGTAATCCTTAGCCAGTCCGGAACTCAGAGATACCCCTACCTCTTCCTCCTCAGTGCCAGGATTAAAATCATGTACTCCTTGCCAGCAGGAAAAGTGATTTGGATTAGAATACAAATTAGATAATGAAACCAGAACCTCACATTTGGGCTTTACATAACTGATAAGCAATTTCTGTACACAAGCAGATATTAAACCAGACATGTCATAAGACTGTTCCTCTTCCACATCTTACCCTAGATTTGTTTCTACATTTGTTTGTAAACATTATTTTAGTTGTTGGTAAATATGTAAAGACAAAGATGCAGAATCACTAGTTTTAGATACTAGAATGACACTGAGGTAACTGTATTAGGTAGGGAAGAAGCCAAACACAGTTTAACTCCTGGCTTTCTGTTTTAGTTTAACCTCATGTGTTGTCAGATTGCCTAGGTTTAAATTCCAACCCTACCATCTCTCAGCTGGCCAGTTACTTAATCTCTTTGTGCCTCAACTTTCTGTAATATACACAAGGTTGTGTACATTACACGAGACAGCCCAGGGAAAGCAATTTGAACAGTTATAAGCACAGAATAAATACTAATGAGAGAGAATAGTAATTGATTAGTCTATTTTAATATAAGACTTTTACTTTTTATTTAAATTATTGCTTTTTTCTTGTTATAATTTTATGTCAAATATTGTTAACATATATTGATTATTTTTAAGTCAATTACTCAGATTCCCCAATCAAGGGAACATAAATTAAGATAACTCATTGTTTAAGAATTATCCTTGCCAGGTAGTAGTGGCACCTGACTTTAATCCCAGTACTTGTGAGGCAGAAGCAGGTGGATCTTTGTGAGTTTGAGGCCAGCCTGGTCTTCAGAGGGAGTTCCAGGACAGTCAAGGCTGTTACACAGAGAAACCCTATCTCAAAAAAACAAAACAAACAAAGAATTATCCTTATGCCATGAATGTTACTTGTATCACAAACTGTGTATCATTAAAAATTTATGTCCAGGACTGGAAAGATGGCTCAGTGGTTAAGCGCACTGGCTGCTCTTCAGAGGTCCTAAGTTCAATTCCCAGCAACCACATGGACTATACTGATACAGTCCTATGAGCCATTCATTTCAGGTACATGTTCTGATAATGGTTCTGAGTACATTATGGGGAAATAAGTTTGTTCTTTGAGTGCTAATCTTAAATCAAGATTACAGTTTTTCCAACCTTTTTTTTTTCTTTTTTCTTGCCTCACATAAGAATGTGAGCTAGCATGTGTATTTCTTGACTTTCAGACTTTTTATGCTTAGCAGACTCCCTTGAACTTCACATCCACAGTTACTTCATCATACAAGTTTCATAGGTACATCAAACTCACATCACAACTCTTCCTGAGTCTCTTCCCTCCTCATTCTGCCTATCAAACTAGATTCCAAGTGGAGTATTACTGTTCAGTTGTCCCAGATGGAAACAGATTCATCCTAAACACTGTTTTCCATGATTATCCATTCTATCTCCTGCTTGACTCAGATATTTTATCCTTTTTTCCCAAAACTAGGCCACAAACTGTTTTGAACTTTGTTGCTGACCATTTCCCCAGCTTGTTCACACTACTGCTTCAGTGACCCACAGAAGCATCAAAGGCCCCTTCTGAAGTGAACATCCCTAAGCATCCTCTGGATTCTGGAAAGGGTTCCCTAGAGGAATGGCTGTACTGTTCTCTCTGGTTACACTCCTTTTCAAAGTAACTGTTCATATGAAGCGAGTTAACGTCTGCCTTTTCCATCCATAGCTCTTCACCTTTGTATTACAAGGCCAAGGTTTCTGTTTCTATGCTGCTATTTCACTGCTTTTACTAACAAATGGTGCTCTTTGCCTTATTCCTCTGACTTTGTTTCAATTTTAAAACTTTCCTTGATTATAGAAATGTTTAATTCTAAATTATGAGATGAAATGGTTGCCATCTGTATATTATGCCTCAGATTCTAACTGTTGAATAAAGTCCATGTTCTCAGTATTTTTCACCCCCAAGCAAATTATTTTTTAATTATTACTTGTAGATTATAGAAAAGCAGAATTGATGGGGAATGTATTTCTGTGTATGTTCATCTTATTGATTGTTGAATAAAGTACTGTTTGGCAAATGAGGCAGGAAGTTAAACAGGAGTAGGAGTCAAGGAGGATTCTGGGAAATGTAGTAAAGAAGTGGTAATCCAGGCAGGAAGTGACATAGCAGGAGACTCATATTTAAGCAAGGACAGGCAGGAAGTGGTTCCTTTTCCCCTTCGCTCTTCCTCCTGCTCGCTGCTCGGAGCCACCATGTGATCCTAGAGATGAGGACGCCAATAGAAGGCGTCCGATAAAATAAGTCTTATAAAATATATAGATTTATGATAATTAAGACTGAGCTAGCAGATGAGAAATCCTAGTCATTGGCCAAGCAGCATTTGTACCTAATATAAGTCTCTGTATTATTTTGTCCATCCACGTGGCGGGCAGAACTCAAGTGGGTGGCGGAATGATTTATTGTATCACAGAATGATGAGGAAGGCCTGTTCATGCTCAATCTGAGCTGTCTGCCACTTGGAAA